CACTAAACCATCTATTACCCCCTTTTCAGAACTCATAACTGGCTCCCACTTGTGACTGATCAAATTAAAGCTTCCCTCAGAATCCCCTTCAAAGTAAGAGGCCACAGAAAGTAGAATGCTGCTGTCTAGAACAGAAAATACTTATTACTATCAATTTCAAGTCATATCCGTTTGCTTCTTTCCTCCCTCCCTCCCTAGAGCACAGCTTTCTCTCTTAGGTTGTTGCTATTACTTCAGGGAATTAAATCTCAAGATAATTCTGAATGCAACTTCCTAATTGCTGCCTAGTACTTACACTGGCTAATGAGTCTATCCAGCCTGCTCTTAAATTGCTGAGTTGTTATTCAGAAATTAGTAATAAAAAGAAGGGAAAAGGAATACCTACAGAGAAATGGGCCAGGCATGGTGGTTCACACCTATAATCTTCTAGCACTCTGGGAGGCCAAGGCAAGAGAATAGCTTGATGTCAAGAGTTTGAGACCAGCCTGAGCAAAGCAAGATACCATCTCTACTAAAAACAGAAAAATTAGCTGGGCATGGCAATACAGGCCTGTAGTCCCAGCTACTCAGGGGACTGACATAGGAAGACTGCTTGAGCCTAGAAGTCTGAGGTTGCTGTCAGCAAGGCTGAGGACTCTAGCTTGTCTCAAAAATCGAAGAAAGAACAGAGAAATAGATGGGTTTCAGAAGAGTGGGGAGATCTAGTACCCAAGCAGCGAAATGGAAATGTAATCTGTATAGTTTAACAGAAATACAAATTTATAAAGTGAACTGCCCCAGTGTACAGAATCAAAGGATTATGTCTGGCTAAGTCTCTATGGCCCCAAAGAGGAAACTAATTAGATAATCATATAGAAAGATACACTTTTTGGCTTGGATCACCAGGCCATGGTCTCAACCGACAACTTAACCTTTAGCTCCCTGGGAGCACTGGTTTCACATCTTCCATCTAATAAGCCAATGGTGTTCAGCGACTTTACCACCTTCAAATCATGTACAATAATAACATCCTCCTCTTTCACTAGAAGCAGCAGTTAGGGGCAAAGGAGGAGAATGGAACTAGAAAATGTTCTTTCCCCCATTCTGATATATGCCTAAGGGTCCCACCTTCAGAATCACTTTAATAATCAGATTTTAATAATCTGAAAATCTATCAGAAACCTACCCCATTAATGAAAGCACATTGTCTTTTAAAAACCCCACTGCCTGAAAAATCTGTTTTATGAGCTGTTTAATTATAATTGAACTAAAAAAAAAAAAATCAGGACTGGTTTTAAAGCCATGAATCTGACATATGGAACACAGAGAACAGTAATCAGATTAAGCAACTAATCAGGATGATCAGCATGAGCGGTAGAAGCCAGCATTCCCTCTAGGTCATATGGTTGTATGGAGGACTGTTCTGTACTTCCTCCTTTTATGTCATTACTATTAATCACTATTTCAGTCACAATTTAAAGAATATTTTGAAAAGGACAATGCATCTCCATGAATTGGTATTCTTACTATATTTTATCAAAAAGGAGGGAATATAATAAATTATCCAGCTGTCCCTCTTTTTTTATTCTTAACAGATCTGAACTTTAACATCTTTCATTCTTGTAGACCCCACCCTGTGTTCCCCCACCATTCTGGGTCTAGAAAAAGTAGCTCAGAATCCATTATTCTTCTAGAACCCTTTTCAATGCCCAAATGTTGTATTATTATTGTATTACTATTCAATCTACTCTTCAAATGTTTTGTAGCAAAACAAAAATGTATTACTCTAAGGAAACTTGCTATCCCATAGTACTTCATGTCTCTCTAGCTAGCCTGATACCCTGATTTTGACAAGAACCAAAATAAAATCTAGATGTCCTCACAGAACATATAAGGCACCAATAAAAGATTTTTGATATTATACCAAAATGGTATCCTTTCAAGGAGAAATAAATGTAGATGAGTCTTACAGGGGGGCCTCATCCCAATAGGCTCAAATATTGGGGCCAAAATGTTATCTCTTTGAAGCTCCCTGGACCAGCTTATAAGAGGATTAACAAATACCAAATCACTTTAGAGAGGTTCTCCTCTTGGAGAAAAACAAGCAGAACCAAAAGTGAAAAGTAACATTTTTTAAAAAAACATAAGCTATCTTTTCTTTTGGACAGAAAAAAAAAAAAAAAAGACAAGAGCAAAAATCAGTTCCTTTGGCACTCAGAAGAAATATTTTCATTTCATTGTGCCTCTATGTGTCCAAGTTAAGTCTTACTGCTTGTAAGTCACTCACTCATACTACAATCAGTTTGGTGGTACAGGAATAATAATTCAAATAGCTGTAGAGGAAAAGTACTCTAAAATGTGGAAGCCTCAATAAATGCCCCTGAAGCCAAAGGAGCATATGAAGGTGAACCTAACTGTAGAGCTGAGGACCATCTGCTCCTGCTCTGATCACATTTCTGTTAGCTTTTCATAGATTGCAAATCTCTCTATCATTTAACTTCTTCCACTGAACCAATGAAAGCACCATAAGAAACACCAATGATGATAATTACTATCAGAAACAGCCTCCAGGAGGAGTCCAGGAAGAATTTTAAAACTTGATTTTTAAAAGTGACCCTCAGTCCCAGCTATGGGCTTAATCAAAATCACATAGGGTTTGGTTTTTTTTTCCTTCAGGACTTCTTGGAGTCTTTAATCTAAGTACACAGATATATTAAAATTATTTAACACTTAGCTAAAACCTTGAAAAAGGCACAGCAGATGGAAAAATGCACTGAGTAAAGGTCAGAATCACAGTTTTGAAAAATTAGACTAAATAAGAGCCCAAGTGGCAGCACAATATAGATAAAGGGAATAGGTTTACTAGCTTTGTAACTCTGGAAAGTTTACATCATTTTGTGTTTCGGTGTACCCAATCTAAAATGGGTAAAATACTACCAGCTTCCTAAAATAGCTGAGGATTAAATGAGATAACGCACAAAGCCCTGTAAACCAAGCCTAACACATAGTAAATACTCCATAAATGTTAGCTATCCTTTTTGTTACTTACTTTGTAAGGTTATTCTAATTATTAGAAATGTATAGTATAATGTTTATAGAATAAAACATCCAAAAATCTAAAATCCCAAATGATCCAAAACCCAAAACTTGTTCAACATTGACATGTAACTCAAAGAAAATGCTCATTTCAAATTTCGGATTTTTGGATTAGAGATGTTCAATTGATAAATATATTATAAATATTCCAAAATCCTAATCACTTCTTGTCCCAAACATGTGGGATGCGGGATACTCAATCTACAGTAAACACTTAATAAAAGGTCATTGAAATGAACAGATAAAAAATCTTTATTGCAGTGCCTAGAGCAACCTAAACTTAATTGATAGGAGTAATATTCACATTTTGGACTCAGATTATGGGGTTTTAATCACTAATAAAAGCACTGCTATTTTGCCTACAACATTTCCCAATGTGACATCTTGAAAAGACTCGTCTTTGGCCAAAGAAAGGAATCAGTGGTCAAATAAATTTCAGAATTATTATGATTAATAAAAATTGGCAAAATTAAGTTTCTTCAAAACTACTCAGAGTCTTTAGTATGCATCTTGAATCTCCAAGAAGAAATACACATTTTCCAAATGAATTTAATGAGGAAATTTTCTTTTACTGAGCAACTCTTGGGGTTAGGATTGTGTGGAACACAAAATGGGAATGACCCTAACTCAGTGGAAAAAATGGAAACAGCACATGAATTCTGCAAACCATTGTGCCTAGAACAATATTTTGCCCAATTCCCAAACATATTTAATTGTGGGATCCTGTCTGTTTGTTTTTGAGTAGCATCTATAAGATTGCAATGCACAAAAACACACTTGGGAAAATGCTTGTCTACAGAAATGCAGCTCCGTTAACTAATGTGAACTACCATGAACAGAACCTACCTAGGCATTACCACAAAGAAGGTTGTTTTAAAGGAGATGTGCTATGTGAAGGACAAAAATGTTCACCTCAACATCCATCTGCTCGGAACTAAGGCAAAGCCTAGTAACAGTGTTCACACTCTGGCCTCCGCTTTTATAACTCCCTTCAATTTTCCATTTTTTCTAACATCTCCAAGGCAACATCACTAGAGGAAAAGCTGGGGAACTCAAACTATATAGATATATTCTGCATTTACTAGAAGCAAATGTGACAAAATGCCACAGCTCTCTACCCTTTTTCTCCTTTTTTGCTTCTTCCAGGAGCTATCTGCCTACCAGAGTTGTACCTCTCACACACATAGTATATTACCTTTTTCATTTGTCATGTATTATATTAGTGTAGGTTAACCAAGTTCTCTTATAATAAAATGCCAGCATCCCTTCTTTCAAGACTTTCTTTCCCATGACTTCTTCCTACAATTATCGCTTTCTTTGCTTAGGTAATTTTTTTTAATAAATCTTTTCCCCTCCTAGATTTTCATTCCTCTAACTTATGTATTTTCTTTACGCTCAACTCATGGTCTCCTAATCAAAAGCTCCTTCGCTCCTGGACAACTGTCTAAAGATGAGGTGGGAGGATCACACGTCTGACTCAAAAAAAAAAAAAAAAAAAAAGGCAGCAATGTTAGCATGGGCTGGGGAATCACAGATCTTTGTTTCTACATACTTCTTTTAGAGAATAATTCACAGGAAGACAGCTTTAGAACCCATCCATATGCAAGTATAAATGAACTACCAAAGTTCCTTAACAAAGTGAAATTCAGGGCTCTCTTTCTAGGGCACTCCAAGGAAAAGGGAGGCTGAAGTTTGAAGAGGGGATGGGCATGGCACAGAACTCGTGATCCCCAGGGATGGCGCGAGCAGGGAATCCGCTAGCCACGGCTCCGTAAGGTCTCGCTTCGGGTGTCTCTGCGGGCTGTACGGTCACCTCGCCTGGGCCTTCCTCCCCGGCCTCCCCACCCGGGGGTCGGAGGATCGATTGCCCCAGAGCCCTCCGCCTCGGCGCCGGGATCCACAGGCTGACAGGGGCCGGCCGGTACCTGGTCATAAGGGGACTTCTCCAGCATCTGCGTGCACAAATCGGCGCAGAGCTGGAACTTCCTGCGCCTAAAATAGCTCCAGGCCAGGAGCAACGGCTCCATGTCTGGGCCCATGGCGGCACCGCTGCGAGCGAAGGACTAGGGCCCAGCTCTGGGAGGGCGGTGGGCGGGGAGCTGGGAGCAGGCGGCGTCCAACTCTGCCGGGCAACGCGCGGCGGCTGGGGCCTTGACGGAGAGGTGCCCGCATCGCGCCTGAAAACAGGGAAGAGAAAAACCACTCTGAGCAGAACTCAGCTTTAGGGTTTACCAAAACGTGGCTGCAAAAATACCTGTACTTTTAAACGCTACAGATTTCATTAATTTTGAGACGGCACCACAGCTAACCAAAAAGGTAGTGACTTAGACACCTCCTACTGGGGTCCTCCACCCCCAGGAGGCGCGGTTGCCTAGCAGCCGAACGCTCTGCTAGCTGCGCAGATCCGGACAAGTCCCGGGAGTGACCTTCAGGCGGATCACTGTGCCAGTTCTCCTGTTGGCTCAATTCTACCCCTCTCGCTTACCTTTGGACTCTAGAAACAAACGTGTGAACAGTTTCTACGATATCAACCCCCCGATCAGGACCCAGAGGCCTAAAACTCTAAAGTCTGTTTCTCCAAGTCCCTCTCACCAAATCTCAAATGTAGAAATAGCAAGAGGCTTGCTTAATCCAATCTACTCTCCTTACAGATGGGAAACAGGCTCACAGAGGAGAAATTATTTTTCCTTAAATCGCCTGGAGTTTGGGAGCTGGGACTGTAATCTTGTTGACTACATGTTGTTAATACTTTTGTTAATCCGAAGCGTTTAGGGATTTTGGATTATAAATCAGTAACATTTTTCCTAACTAGATAATGTATGCAAAAAAATTTTAAAGGAGCTTTGCAAAACACCACCTCCAGGCAGATATTGTTTTGTCAAAAGTTTGCTGTGCAGAGTGATTTCTTCAGCTACATTTCTGACTTTGCTCTAGAGATTCACACAGATGCTATTAAAGACAAATATCTTTAATAGCAATGGTTTTGAAAAGAGAAATTGACAAAGGATCTTTTTTCCTTGCCCCCACAGTGGGAAGGGTAGGAAAAAAATTTAACTCAATACTGCTGAACTTTCTGATGACATCTAAGTTCCCTCTATCTCTGTTAGATAAAGAGACAAGCTCTTAGCCAAGATAAGTCTCCACAGCAATTTTCTCAAAGCAGTAGAGTACCAAAATGCAGACATTATAGTTAATCTACATACTGTGGGGGTTTTTTTTATTTTTTTAGAGACAGAGTTTCACTTTATCGCCCTCGGTAGAGTACTGTGGTGTCACAGCTCGCAGCAACCTCCAACTCCTGGGCTTAGGCGATTCTCTTGCCTCAGCCTCCCGAGTAGCTGGGACTACAGGCATCTGCCACAATGCCTGACTATTTTTTTGTTGCAGTTTGGCCAGGGCTGGGTTTGAACTCATCACCTTCAGTATATGGGGCTGGCGCCCTACTCACTGAGCCATATTGTGTTTTTTAATAGTTATTAAAATTAAACTAAGAAATTGTATCTTTACTAAGCAATCTTTCTCTAATTGTATCCTGGAAGTAAATAATTATCAGGATTATGATTGTTACAGTTATGTTTATTGTCATTAGTTCATTTGTGTTTCCCTGGAACTGCCTCTAGAGATATAATCTCTCTAAGGGTATTAATGGAACATACCATGGTTGGGGGAGGGGGAGAGGTCAGGGTAAGAAAGCAAGTCCTGACAATTGACAACTGGGCTCAATATTTCATACGGTCTCTTTGTTTACAGTGTAAGCAGATTCCCTATATTGAGTGATTCTTGTCCCTGGCTCCATATTAGACAGATGTTTTAAGTAAACGTTTTATTCTCATGACCCTATTATAACTAAGGGACCTTGGTACCTTAATATTAACTGAACTCCTCAGTGTATTTGAATTTCAGTAGTTTTCCCCTAATAGCATTTTCCTATTTCAGCATCCTACTTAGGATACCACTTAACGTTTAGAAATCATGTCTCCTTTGCCTTCCCTGGTCTGTGACACTTTTATAGATTTTCCTTGCTTATGGTGACCTTGACAGTTTTGAAGAGTTCTAGTCAGGTATTTTGTAGAATATCTGGGAAGTTCTTAAAAATACAGTTTTTAAAAATAGAGATGCTGACTAAAAAATGGCTTGAAGTCAGGCTGGGTCTCAGAAGATTGTAATGGATAGCCAGGACTAACCAAGCATTATGTTGAGTTCTAAATTGTCTTGTATATATTGAGGTTATTGTCAACTTCCTAGAGAAAAACAATATTTTTGTAAGCAAGAAATAAACATGCAAATAAATACATAATGTAGAATAAAAAGAGGCATTAATATTTTAGTAGCATATAATTTATATTTTTAATAGCGTCTTTCAAAAGGCTGTTTTTTTTTTCTTTCACAAAAAATGAAATGAATGAGAAAAATTGTGGGATATTTAGCAAATTGCAGGATGTTAAGCATGTTCCAAATGTAACATAAAATGTGTCTTTAAAAGAATATAAACATTATTTTATATCATGTAAATGTGTTTACAGTTAATTGATTTCATGAATTTATACATAGACTTTGTTACATTTTTTATAATATCTAACCAATAATGCAGAAACAACTATTAAAAAAAAACAACAACAAAGGATATGATAGTACAAGGAAGTAATTATTCTAGTGATAGTAGTGGGAAAACTACAGGATGTAACAATCCCTGGTGAAGGGAGTTAGATAAGAATTACTAGGGCCAATTTCCTACTAGAGAGAATGAGCCATAGAGAAACAGCTTAAGCCCTTTAAAAGAGTTGGTTTGACAATCAGAGGGAGATCTCAGTTCATAGATCCTTATCTTTTGCTCTCTAGCAACTAGATATCTCATTAGGCTAATCAGTTTAAAATTAAATACCAAAGGTTACCTTTTCTAGATGTTAAATTGGAATTTATTTGTCCAGACCCTATGCTTGATGATAAGAATGCAGAGATGAACAAAACCAATCTCCTGCCCAAAGGGTACTTATACACCAAAAGTACCGAGTGGAAAGAGCACTTACTAGCTGTGTTTTCTCAGGCAAATTAGGAATCAGTATAAAATGATGATTAAAAAGTAGGCTCCCACTTGAACTTTATCTTAGAAACACAAACAATGTACCCTAATCATTTGTTCCCTCATATTAATCTGGGAGAAAAAAGGTAAGTTCTGGAACCAGATTTCCTATATTTGAACCATGACTCCGCTATGCCCTATCTAGCTGTAGGGAGTTTGGAGAAATGACTTAATTGTCCTGTGCCTCAGATTCTTTATCCATAATGTAAACTGCATTACTGTATTTAAGAATTTTCAATTTTGCCTTTTTTTTTTTTTTTGAGACAGTCTCACTCTCTTGCCCTAGGCTAGAGTGTCATGGTCTCAGCCTAGCTCACAGCAACCTCAAACTCCTAGGTTCAAGTGATCCTCCTGCCTCAGCCTCCCAAAGTAGCTGAGACTACAGGTGCTGGCCACAGCACCCAGCTAATTTTTCTACTTTTAGCAGAGGTGTGGTCTCATTCTTGCTCAGGCAGATCTCAACTCCTGACCTCAAGTGATCTTCCTGCCTCCACCCTCCAGAGTGCTAGGATTACAAGCATGAACCACTACATCTGGCCCTCAATTCTGCCTTTTCTTTTTTTCAATTCTGCCTTTAAAAGGACAAGAAAAAAAATGGGATATGTGCAACTAATGAGAAATGTTAAACGTAGGAAATAAGTGCATCATTAACCTATGAGACACATTAAACATAATAGAATAAATAGATATTGATGTCCCAAACATATATTGAAAGGACAAAACAAACAAATGAGATTGTTACTTATAGATAGCAATGGGAAGCAAAATAAACCCCAATATTCGTAAAACATGGATCAGCTTCACGTACCTCAAATTGACCACCCACTCTAACCCAAATGTCCTGTTTTTAAAACATTTACTGCTACTTATCAAGTCATCCTTGAATTATAGCTGTGGTCATATATTCTCACCTCTTTCTAATAGAGCAAGTGAACTTCTGCTTCTGAACTTTCTTGCTTCCCCTCAAATCTGTTCCTTATAGCTATGCCATCTTCAGAGAAGGCAGATGAGACCAAGAGAGAGTCATGTGAATTTTGGCTGATTCACAAGTAAAGTGGTCCTTCTACCTGCTTGTCTTAAATATGTTAATCCACCCAATCTCTTTCCCCTTGCTTCTCACTGCACATTTTAAATTGATTTAACTGATTCGAGCATCTTAATCTAGACTATGCACCTTTTAGTTCCAGGACCTCTGGAATAGCCTGCCTCTTTGTATACTTGGAGGCTACCGCAGCATTTTCCAGACTACACATACTAAATGGAGATGATGATGATAATGGTAATGTAACAATGATAGTGATTATTTCATGAGATGATTATGGAGATCAAATCAACTTAATAAAAATAAGGCACAATTACATCATCTTTTCAAAAAACATTGAAACTGGGAACCAGCAATGTATGCAACCAGTCATATATTGATAGATATGTACATTCATAGACTGAATCTATTCTCAATCAGGCAATATTTTTTATATGCTGGAGATACAACAATTTGAGGCACTACTAAAAAAGAAAAACGGAGGTTGTTTCTGTTTTCCTACTTCCTTGAGGAAGTGCTAGCTTGATAAATATCTATTGATAATGATATTCATGCAAAAATACTTTTAAATACTACAAGGTGCCAGAGAAACAGGGTGAATGATGCATATAAACAAGTAAGTTCAATAAAGGATGATGGGAGCCATGATTCAAACCATAGATTGGAGCTGGCATGGTGGCTCATGCCTGTAACCCTAGCACTCTGGGAGGTGGAGATGGAGGTGGATGACTTGCCTGAGTTCAGGAGTTTGAGACCAGCCTGAGCAAGGGCGAGACCCATCTAAAATAAGAAAAAACTAGCTAAAAAGAGAAAAAAGTAGCTGAACATTATGGCATGCACCTATAGTCCCAACTACTTGGGAGGCTGAGGCAAGAGGGTCGCTCGAGCCTAAGAGTTTGAGGTTGCTGTGAGCTATGATGATGCCATGGCACTCTGTCTCAAAAACAGAAAAAAAAAAAACCATAGATGGGTACTAATGAAGGCACAGGACTGAGTGAATCT